TCTTCGACCTACAGCCACCCTCCTGTCCTCCACCCTCCTTGATCCCATTAGGTCCAAAAAAATCCCTTAAAAATTTATTTGGATAGTTCCCTTCATGTCGGGTGGACGTCCAGCACCTTGGGACGTCCTCCCGACATGAAGGGCACTGTACAAATATAAATGTGTATTGTAACATAACCAAAATACAGTGGTAATACTTGAGACTCTGACAGTCCAATGCAGTCAAAGGTGAATGAGTTGGCGCGGAGGGAGGGCTGAAAATACATTTAATCAGTTAATGTTAAACTCATTCCCTCCCCACTCTGATTTTAAATTTCCTTTTCTAAAAGTAAGGATTATTTTTATTGTTATTAATATGATAAGGAGTGTGTGAAATGGAAATTGTCACCATAGAGCAGTCATTAAATAGGAACTATCTTGTTTCACCATCCTTCTTCAAAGCTTAAGCCTGCTTGTCTGCTTCTTTTGCTAGACCTGTCTTGCCTTGTAAGCTAGAAGATCAAGAGCAGTATGTGTACCGTTTGGGGTTGACGTGTTCTGACAGGTGTATTCAAGAAGTAATTGCATAAAAAAATTGAAAGTTAAAGACAATATTTCTACAAAAAGTATGCGATCTGCTAAAGCATTAACCTGCATGCTTGTATTAACATTTGATAGATAGAAGACTTTGTATGGTATCCACATACCATACAAAGGTTGTTGGTAAAAATAAAAATATGTATCAGGGACAAGTGCTGTATCTCCCTTGGTGAGAAAGCTAAGCCGCAAGTGACCCATAGTTGAGCTTGTTAGTATCTGATGTTGGTATCTATCATGCTCCAGCATGCTTTATGCCACCTGTTCGGGTTTATGAAATTCTGAGCTTACTTGTTTCCATATATTAATCCTAACAACAGCTTTGAAGCTATACTAAATAGAATGCACATGAAAACAGAGACTGGTTGGCACAGTAGCAATGCATTAGAGAGGCGCTGTTGGAAATGGAAGTACTGTATTCACTATAGTGTGGTAGGAACATAGAAACATAGGAATCTTCCGGATTGGACAAGACCATTCAGGCCAATTACAAAATAAAAATATCCTAAATTACTCTGTCTTTCATATCCCTTGATCAATTTCTTGATCAAATAGCAGGCTAATTCCCTCTTGAATTTGGTGACACAGTCTACCTCCTCTGTTTCCCAGGACAGTCTATTTCATATATTGGTCTCCCTCTGTGTAAATTTATTAAATAGGAACTATCTTCTTTCAGCATCTTTCATCTGAGCTCGAGTTTATGCACTATTGTTCTAAATTTTTTGACCATGTCAAAGTTATTATTAGGGGTGTTTTCTGATGTTGGATTGAGGCACATTGCTGGACAGAGTAAGGAACATTTTCTATGTATCCAACCATGGTGTACAGCTCCCATCACTCGGTACCAGCTGATGTCTATGTATTTGGGGTAAAAAATACGAAGTTTCATAACAGATTTGATATTTTTCCAATGCACCATGGAATCTGTTAGGATTCTTCAACATGTCAAATCAACTTCCAACATCTTAAATATCCATCATCTTGGATTCCCACTTAGCAGCTGTAATAGATATTCCCAAATGCAGACCTACTTTCTGACTGCTTCTGCACAAGATACCAATTGAATTAAGTTGTTAGTTAGTCCATAAAACAGCACTAAATGATGATTGAAAACAGCAATGACCTCTATGACTCTATGCTGAGGTCAGGGAGAGGGGGAGATCTCCATATCCATATTAATTTCTACATTCATCAGGAAGTCACCGATGCTGATAATATTGAACCAAACATATTTATTCAGACAGTGCCAATGCAGTCAGAGGTGCCATCCTTCAGATGAAATGTTAACTTGAAGTCCCATCTATCTAACCAGTCCATTATTTCATGCACAAAATACACAATCAATCCACAGTACAATATATTCTGTGAAGAGCTTTGAGACATCTCAACAACGTGATAAGGTGCTATATCAAATGCAAAGATTATTATTGTTCCTGAAATTTGGAGAAATTCTCTTGGACTCTGTCAATGGCGGGGAGTAGGATAGTATATTTGCACTTTTTATAATAATAATAATAATAATAATCCTTGTATTTGATATAGCGCTTTTCATGTCTTCTAGCCGTCTCAAAGCACTTTACATAATATGCTGTAAAGTGAATTGACTGTATATTTGTGGGCGAAACGCGGCAGCTAATTGCGCACAGCAATGTCCCACAAACAGTCGTGGATTGAAAATGAGCAATTTATTATTGTTTTGTTTTTTGGAGGGATTATAACACATTGTCATGTTGAAACTTCACAATGTGCTTCACAAGTAATTATGGTCAAGTGTAGTGATGTTTTTGTTTTATAGCAAGATCCTACAAAGAGATTTGAGGTAAGTAAGTACTGTAATTTGAAGGATCATTGGCCAGCTTACTGGGAGAGAAAGTCCCTTCTCTTTTAGAATACAATCTTAGACTATGCCAAGGGATCTTCAGTAACTAGCTGAAAAACAAACCTTAATTTAACTTATCATCCAAAAACCTCGGACGATACAGCTCTCCCCAGCACTGCAGTGAAGTGTCAGCCTTGATGATCCCACAAGCATTTGCAGCAAATGACATTCTTAAACATAGAGGTCTGTCTGTACTGTCAGCCTGGATGAGGATTTAATCATGTAACAACTGCAAATGGCCTGAATATGATGAAAACATTTTGTTATGCACTGGATTTCTCAGTGTGCTGTTGGTCACAGCTGTTTCATATGTAACATCAGCAAGGTGCAAGCCCCACGTATGTCCTAGTTCCTACAGTATTAAGTTTATTTATCCCCATTTATATCTTGCTGCACAAGATTTCCATTCCTTCTTATTTGTCCACTAAATTACATGAGCTGCCTGGACTATTGTTACATCATTAATCATAGAATCATAGAATATTACACAGAAGGAGGCCATTTGGCCCATCGTGTCTGTGGCAGCTCTTGGTAGAGCTACCCAATCAGTACCATTGCTCCGCTCTTTCCCCATATCCTTGCATTTTTATCCTTTTAAAGTACCTATCCAATCCACCTTTGAAAGTGTTTTTTGAATCTGTTTCCACAAGCCTTTCAGGCAGTGTATTCCAGACCATAACAACTCTCTGTGTGTAAAAAAAATTCTCCTCATCTCCCCTCTAGTTCTTTTGCCAATTATCTTAAATCTATGTCCCCTCTTTACCGACACACCTGCCAGCAGAAACAGTTTCTCCCTATCTACTTTATCAAAACCCTCATAATTTTGAACACCTTTATTAAATCTCCCCTTAACCTTCCCTGCGCTAAGGAGAAGAATCCCAGCTTCTCTAGTCTCTCCACATAGCTAAAGTCCCTCATCCCCGGTATCATTCTGATAAATTCGTCCATCCGTCCATATCCGTCCTAAAGTGTGTTGCCCAGAATTGGACACAATACACCGGCTGAGGCATAACCAATAACTTATAAAGGTTTAGCAGAATCGCCTTGCATTTATACTCTATGCCTCTATTTATAAAACCAAGGATGCCATGTACTTTTTTAACAGCTCTATCAACCTGTACTGCCACCTTCAAAGACCTATGTACGTGAACCCCAAGATCTCTCTGCTCCTGAACACCCTTTAAAACTGTACAATTTAGTGTATATTGCCTCTCCCCGTTCCTCCTCCCAAAATGTATCACCTCACACTTCTTTGCATTAAATTTCATCTGCCATGTGTCTGCCCATTTCACCAGTCTGTCTACGTCCTCTTGCAGCCTGCTACCATCCTTCTCACTGTTTACTACATTCCCAAGTTTTGCGTCATCTGCAAATTTTTTAATTTTGCCCTCTATACCCTTTCAAGTCATTTATGTATATCAAAAAGAACAGTGGACCTAATACCGACTGCTGGGGGACACCACTGTATACTTCCCTCCAGTCTGAAAAACAACAATTCACCACTCCCGTCTGCTTTCTGCCTCCCAACCAATTTCGTATCCATGCTGCCATTGCCCATTTTATCCCTTAGGCTTCAATTTTGCTAACTAATCTATTATGTGGAATCTTATCAAATGTCTTCTGAAAGTCCATATACACAGCATCAACTGTACTACCGATATCAATCCTCTCCGTTATTTCATCACTTAAGAATTTAAGTTTGTCAGACATTATTTACCTTTAACAAATCCATGTTAGATTTTTCCAAAATTAATTTTGTCCCAGATTATAGTCTCCAGAAGTTTCTCCTACCACCAACATTTGGCTGACTGGCCTGTACTTCCCGGGTTTATCCTCTTTTTTGAACAGGAGTGTAACATTTGCAACCGGCCAGTCCTCAGGCTGGATATAAATGGAAAGATGAGCACTGAGGTTTGACCAGGACCCACATCAGTGATGAGGCATGCTAGACAATCTGTCACATGTTTGAGTGTTTCAACATACTGAAACTGCTCTGTACTCAGATATAGTAGCATGTAATGATATTGCACCATTTGTTAATCTCAGGCTAACTGTTAGGATAAACAGACTAATCTCCACTGTGTATCCATTATTCTTTATTACATAATTTCCTATCAACTCTGATTCAAACAACAATAGGGTGGAAAATGTGATATTTCCTAAAGGAATTTGTGTGTTGGATTTAATGTGATAAAATCACGTTGAATCCTTTGTGAAACATTTTATTTTTGCATTCCAATCTTGATAAACAACACAGAGAGATTTGTAAATGGTAAATTACTTTTAAATGAAGACAATCGACAAAACTATAATAATTCACATTCAAAATAGAAATGTCTTTCAATCAAAGGATCATTATGAAAAAAATACAGTATATTTATACCGTAGTTGGACAGCAGAAAATGTTCTCATCAGAAGGAAGTGGCGTGGAAGGAATTTTGCTACTTGTGTTTATTTCTGTTCTGTCTACATCTTGCTAATGTCCAATATTAACATTTCTTGTCGGGATCTACTTTTCAAGTGCTGTTTTGGTATTTTTTGGCAGACGGATGCAGCCTTGATGTACGATGCAGTCTATGTGGTGTCCATAGCCTTCCAACGCGCTTCACAAATGACAGTCAGCTCCTTACAGTGTCACAGGCACAAGCCCTGGCGATTTGGATCGAGGTTTATGAACCTTATCAAAGAGGCAAGTCCGAGATTTATCTTTGTGATTTTAGCAGCAATTTATTTTCAAGCTGAATGCACAGATTTGAGCACTTAAGAGAGATCCAGTACAGTGAAGGATCTTCCTGGATAACACTCTTATATTTATGCACTTATAAACCAGGAAAATTAGTCTATTTCTCAAGGTTATGTCCTTGAATATCTATTTAGATTATAGCAATATTATGCCTGGAGATGCTCTGCGTTCTGTGAATAATTTATAGAAAGGGCTGAAAATGCAATGTTTTAGAAAAGATTTGACGTAATTATTTGCATGTTTCAGCCCATAGAATTATAGTTAGGGCAGAGCAAGGTACAAAAATTGCAAATTAATGAGGTCTTTCAAATACAATCATAATGCATGAGATTGAAACTCAGGTGTTTTTGTGAATATTACCTAAGAGCAGAGATTGGGTAATGGTCTTAAACTCACATTTTTTCTATCTATGAAGCAGATGCTATCTTTGGTAACTAATGTTACATTAAAAACAAATCAACTGTGGTGCTGATTCCTGATTCCTTTTTTATTAACTTTATTTCAAACACGCATTTTGGCAGAAGTTAACATTTTTGCCAAGGTGTAAATAAGGTACAAACAACAGTCTATCAAATATCATTAGGGAATAAGAGAAACATATTCAACGTCCAACATTAAAAGCAATGATTTGTCTTGCAGCAATTGCTTAGCCTATTTGGCAGTTTAGATAGTGGTCTTTTACTGTTGGTACAGGTGCGATGGCAAGTACCTTGTGCTGATTTGATGTGTGATTGGCATTCAGAAAAAAATCTATGGATTAATGTCATACTGAATAGATTTTGTTCAAGGACAGGAGAAAACAAACGAAACGTGAATGATGACATTTGGGAATATTTTCACTGGAGCAGAGAAGGTTAAGGAGAATCTAATAGAAATTTTCAAAATAATGAATGGTTTTGCAAGGGTAAAGAGATAGGGACTATTTCACTAATTAACGAATCAGTAACAAGAGGACATGATTTGCAGATTATCATCAGAATAATAAAGGGAAACATTAGAAGGTTTTTACACAGGTATTAAACTGTGGAGTGATTTACCACAAATGGGTGTTGAAGTTGAGCTCATTGCATAATTTAAAAGAGAATTCAATATACTCAAAGAAAAATAGCATGCAAGGAGATGAGAAAAGAGTAGGAGAATAGGATTAGAGCAGATATGCAGTTACATTTCTGCCGTCAAACACATCTAGATTTACTGCACAATGCTCATATGCAGGTTTAGATGAAGAATAGCATGATTGGTTTTGAAAGGCGCTTTACAAATATAATTTTGTTGTTGTTGAACTTTTCTCTTAGAGCAAAGTATATAATAAATGGAAAAAGTCATTGTGAATTGCACTTCTACCTAGACAAAAAGGAATGATAATGACATTTAGAATAGACTGTTTCATTAGGATATAAACTAACATTGATTTATTTGCCTCTGTGCTTGAATAAACCATACTTGCGAATGATGGGATTCTCTTTTTACTCAATTCAGAGGTAACTGAAGAGAAATTGAATGTATTTTTCAAATCTTGCCATTAGGCTCAGTGGGATGGCCTGACAGGACATATCGCCTTTAATAAGACTGATGGTCTGCGGAAGGATTTTGACTTGGACGTTATAAGTCTAAAGGAGGAAGGTCTGGAAAAGGTGAACAATTTAATGCCCTGCTTATTGCCCACATGGTAAAATCCTTTCTTGACAAGGATGTTGTAAACATTGCTGGAGAAAGTCACATTATCATTACCTGTTATTTTGAAAGCATAACGTCCTGCTCTGAAAAATGTACAGTTTAAAGAAACTGAGAGTGTATTGTGAGTGACAAACTTGAGAATTGCCGCTTGGAAAGGCATTTATTTCATGTGATTTAAGAACTATTAGGCCCTGCTTTAACACATTCACAATGGGGAGAAAGCAGTGGGTTGTGTTATTCATAAACTGTATTTGTAATTTTGACATCCAGGTTACAAATATGGTGTTGAAAGATTCATGACAAGATTTGTGAATGGCATATCCCAAATTTTATATGATAGTAAATCTACTTTCACCAAGCAAATGCTGATGGGAAATCTTCATTTTTAAATTTGCTGACTTGGGATTTCCAGTTTGCCATTTTGCAAATCTCACAATCCACATTTGTAAACTTGAAGCTGCATTTAACACAAGAAATTCAATTTTAATATGATACTTTAGACTCCCAGTTTCTACTTTCTGACCTTCCCTGCTGAAATTAACCATTTATTTGGTTGTTCAAATACTTCTTATATTTAGCATCAACAGGAAAGCCTTGTTGAATATTTCTTTAGTGACTAACGAATAGCATTGTGCCCTCAGAATATGATGGAAAATCATATCATACCACAGCTCCTTAGCTGGTTATAATAAATCATACACCGTTACTTATTTTTTTTTAATTCTTTCTTTCTATTTTACTCATTTATTTGTTTTTTTATTTGTTTATTTTTATTCTAGTTGACAATTAAATTAGGATTAAAACATGATTTTTTTTATTTTAACAAGCTCCTTTATTCTTTACAAGCTTCCTGGTGACATTATTCACTCCAGCAAAATATGGCGGAAGGTTTGTACTGAGAGAGACGTGTCCATATTTGGTGTGGTTCGTAAGTTATGTCCTGCTTAGTTTAGTCCCAAGTTGGTCATCTCCTGTTTTGTTGGACTAAGCGTTATGTGAGTTATTCTCTGCATGTTGTTACATTTACTGAGCTTGTAGGCAACTTGACTCCCTCTGTTGGGTGTTAAATTTGTGACTGTGAAAATTTCATTGAAGGTTCAATGGCCGAGATCGGTAAATTTACCAACAAACAGAAAACAACCCCTTCGTTTCTAAGCCAGACACAATCCTTGGTAATTGAATGTTTTTTGGCGTATGCTAAATGTGGTGAAGGCTGGCACCAGGCTGACGCCACTCTCAAAGTACAGTTTTACTTTGTGAAGCCTGTTATCCAAACTTACTTAAAAAAAACTACAAGCCATTTTTATACCGTTATTACATCCTGGAGCATTGTAAAACAGGTTTCACAATGCTCAGAGATGTAATAATGGTATAAAAATAAAATGTTCCCATTATAAGCAGATCCTGCCAAATTCTGTGCTGTTTCTGATGGGATAATAGTCCCATGATTCTCTCGAATAATCACTAAAAATCTAAGAACCACAAAAACTTGCATTTATATAGTGCAAAGGACAAGAAAGGTCAGTAACCAATGTGTACATCTTTAATCTCTGACTTCCACACTTAAAGTGATGTGAATAGGTAATATAGATGTAGCCACTTACAACTCTCTTATATGCTTATCCATATTCTCTGGTTAGTGCCGTATAATTACAATAGAAAATGAGATCATTCCAGTGCTCACTGACTCATATCTTTTGGGTCAAAATCAAGTAAATCAAGTAATCATTAATTTTGAATTAAAATATATATCATTTATTTAATGTAAGGTATTTTACAGCATTTCCTATTAAATCTCAAAATGAATGGATTCCTGTCTATAACCCTATCAGACATATGGACATGGAACCACGGTCATATTCGCATTGATCTCTGGGATTAATAAAGAATTTGGGGGTAAAATTTGCGATATTCCTCGATGTACTGCTTAACGCATGTAAGGAACACTAGCAGGTGGTGCCCTCTACTGGGTCTTAACACTGTTATTGATGAGCGATTTTATTTTGCAAATTTTAGGACTAGCTCATTCAATTGCTAAAGGGGAAGGTTTTAACCTTAGTAGAGCGTGGAATTTGGTCCTCCTCGGCAGATCAACCATAGCAAAGCAATAATAAACTAAAAGGAAACCGAGAGCCTGATGTAGGGGCTAAAATTTGCAAAACAAAATCACTCTCAACAACATACTGTATATAGCATCCTTCACACGGGTGGACTGCCTTGGAGTGCAGTGGTTGACAATCTTTCTAGAAAACCTGCAGTAATATTCTGGATTGTCCAATATACATTGCCACATACCTTCTCTTCGTTAATACCAGTGTGTGTGCAGCGACTAATGGTTTGAGCATGATTATCTTACCTGAAGATTATCTGATCTCCTGAATGTAGATTGGAATCTGGAACTCAAACACTGGCCTTAACATGACGGATAGCATGAAAGAGAAGCCATCAAACATCAGTGTCTCAATGTCCAATAGGTCTCTTATAGTCACTACTATTTTGGTAAGTTTTGTTTGGCTGTTAACTATACATGTGATTATTCAATCTTCATGTTTGTTGTGCAGTGAATGTGGAAGTCATGATTGGTAATCACGACCATTATAGAAAAAGGCAGAATACTGCAGAAGCTGGATATCTGAAATAAAAACAGAAGTGGCTGGGAACACTCAGCAGGTCAAGCAGCATCTATGGAGAGAGGAAAGTGGGTTAACATTTCAGGTCAATGACGCCTATTTTAGCATCGCTTGGATTTGACAGGACTAAAATTGCACTAAAATCCCAGCTAGCTGGACCAATGTACCGGAGGTTCATTCCAGCAAGCTGGAATTTCTGGCTAAGTGAAATTACAATGCCAGTACCAGCAATTACCGTCTTTTTTGAAACGATGGTGAAACTACTCAGTGCAGCATTGGTGTGAGCTAGGAGAGTTGGTCCCGCAGTCTGTACGTGGGTCCACAGATTTTTTTAAAAAATTGGGTGTCAGACCCAGTCCGACTAGGCCCAAATTCTGGGGATTTTCTGTACTGAATTGTAACTGAGTTCTACTGTTACTGCAACTGCATCACACACTTGTGAATAAAAATGCATCCAAACTATTTACCAAGCTGCTGATGAATATTGGTCATCCCCAAAAAAACAAATAAATGGTGCTCAGAACACTTTTCATGTCAAACTTCATCGAGAGCTTCAATCAATTAGTTCCATTTAAGTGCATGACTGCTGTAATGAAAGCAAACTTGGCAGTTAATCAGCAATGTATTAGAAACGCCAATGAAATGAATGACTACATTTTATGCATGAGTGTGGGGGGAGGATGTGGGTAAAGAGGTGGATTGGAATGAATATGGTTGGAGGAAGAATCTTAGTCAGATCACATTGGGTTTCTTGAAAATAGTGCCATGGAGTGGGTAACATCCATTTGAACCACCAGATCAATGAATAAGTAAGGCAAGTCATAGGAGTTTGGAAAGTGAGATAATCTTAGTAAAAAATAGTATTGGCTATAGCAACGTTTGGAGAAGCAAACAGCAAAACAATCTCAGTGCTGAATTAATGAATCCTCAGAATGGTGTTTAAAGGGAAGTAAAAATAAATTGTCAGTGTGTTTAGCCAAACTCTGAACCATGCTAAGTGGAAGCCAGAGCTGGTTTTGATCTAGAGACTGTTATTACCAGTTGGTGATAACCTTTCACCTTTTCCCATCAAACTGTGAAAAGTAATAAAGCAGATTCATTATCACATTGTGTTAAAAAGATTACATTTGCCAATGCTGTCTTGCAGGAAGATCCCTACGTGATGTATAAGAAATCTGACAAGCCTCTTTATGGCAATGACCGATTTGAAGGTTATTGTCTTGACTTGTTAAAAGAGTTATCAAACATTCTGGGCTTCACTTATGAAGTTAGATTAGTAGCTGATGGGAAGTACGGAGCCCAGAACGACAAGGGCCAGTGGAATGGAATGGTGCGGGAACTCGTTGACCACGTAAGTAATATTTGCATTACTGTGCTGTAGTCTAGAACTGTAGCTTATAACACAGGCTGGTCTTTATAAGATTATCTAATGTACACCGCAACCTCCAATACTATACAACTTTGCATTTTTTTGTAGAACCCACAATAAAAGGAAACTTGTGAAACACTGGACTGTAATATGCAGCTATTTGTAAGAGGAGTCACTATTAGTGACAATTTGCATATAATGATTCCTGACAGTATTGCATTGAGACAATCTGCGCTTAATCAACAACAACAACTTGCATTTATAGTGCCTTTCACATGGGGTAATGTCTCAGACTGCTTAATAGGCATATTTAAGTAAGTACTTAATACTTACTTTAGATGCTTAGTTCACATGCATGACCTATCTCCAGTTTCCAGAGTGTCCTCAGGTTTGTGTGTTACACTTCTGGTCACCATCACTCCTGACACCTGTTACAAATTGTCCATATTAATTCCCACTGTTTTCACAACTTCCCCAAATGACTCAATGGTAAAAGTAATGTTTAGTGTGCACCCAGGAAACCTCAAGGTTTGATCCTCTGTCTGTGCTGAAATATCTGATCTCAACCAGATTACGGATAGAGGCTCTATAATTAGCTGCAATGCTTGAACGAGGAAACAAGCCAGAGTTTCCTCCCTTAACCATTATTCCATGTGATCTCAAGGAATAATTAGCGATATTCACGTGGGTGGGCATTGGGTGAGTATAGGTCAGATATGGCTCTGATACCTTCCATTGTTGAATAGCTGACCAACACTGTCTTAATTCACACAGAGAAAATGGCTGCATGAGCAAGATACCAAACGGTTACTTATGGTCATGGAACCATACCTCAGCTTGAGTCAATACCAGCAAGGGGGGAGAGGATAGAGAATTCTGTCTTTGTTTTTTTGCAGGAAGTATTTAGTGCAGATCAATAGGCACTGTCTTGAAATGTGTCTAGAGGTAATGTGGTTGTATTCTGCTTCATGAGATACTATAAAAAATAAAATGTTAGCATTCTAGTTGCACAAATGTTTGATGCTTTAGTTAATGTGAAAAGTGATCTGAAAATCAAAATGAAAGTTGAAGGGAATTGATACATGTCTGAATTGGAATTGGCAGCCGGAGGTTCTAACCTAAGTAACTAGATGAATTGAGAAAAGATGGAGCGCTTAGCCGCAAATTATTCACAAACTAGATCATTAGCAATTTAATATGATTTCCAAAATAACGCAATACAAACTTCAACATTAAACTCCATTTAACTTCAACAACAACTTGCACTTAAAGAGTGCCCGCCACACAGGGTACAGTCTCAAAGCGTGTAGCTCTGGTGAAACTTATGTTTCATCTGTTTGTGAAATGCCTCCACAACTCAGCCCATTCCAATAAAGTTAGTTCACCATTCAGACCTCTCATTTAACAACAACAACAACAACAAGATTCCATTTATAAAGCGCCTTTCACGTCAGGAGGACGTCCCAAGGCGCTGCACAGTTGGGTCATGACCCGAGCAGGGGGGAAATGGTCAGGGTGAGGGGAGGGAAGGGAGGGAGCGAGGAGGGGGGAAATGGTCAGGGTGAGGGGAGGGAAGGGAGGGAGCAAGGAGGGGGGAAATGGTCAGGGTGAGGGGAGGGAAGGGAGGGAGGGAGCGAGGAGGGGGAAGAGAGTCGAGAGGGGAGCTGAAGGCACGGTCAAAGAGAAATGGACCCTTAAATTAAATGGTAATTGTCTGAATTTTTGTATCTGAAGACAGATGACATCTTTTTCTAATCTCTTTCTTAATTTAAATCTTAATTTTAATTTACCCTGTAATTATTTTCAACTTTCACTGCTGCTGATGATAGATTGCCTGCTCATTGCTGAATGAGAGTTACAATGAGCAGAGCGCTGTGGGAGTTGACAGAGGGCAGCTTCACTTCACTCTTGGTTCTTAGCTCCACCTGACTGAATTATTTCCGCAGCAATGGATCACCCATGAAAAGGTTGTCCAATCACTGGTAAATTTACCAATCTTGGCAGGGCAGAGCATCACATTCTCCATTGTTGGGTGTATGGCCTTGGCAGAGTGCATAACACAAATATTGTATTAAACAAACAATGTCAAGGTTGATAAATTCACTGGACAATGCAGAATTAAGTATCTACCAGCCAAGGTCAGATTTACCAACGAAAAGAGAATTACCCCTCCAGTATTATACAGTGTTACACTGTACATCCATGATTAAATTGACATCTAGCCTTGAATTAACATCCAGGTGAATGGATCAGTAAGCAACCTTCACTATCCATCAAAGTATGTAACATTTATCCTATCTGTGGAACAAATAAGTATGTTAGTTATGCAAATATTTCATCACAATGCAATTATGGGGCAGTTGTTGAACTACTTTTGCTACATTGTTCTGGATTTGTATAGACATTTGAAACGAATGCCATCATGAGGTCATATATTGGGGATTAATACATTGTGATTTTAACAGGAATTGTTAATAGAGACACTGAGTCCCAAATAGCAACTCCTGCCAGTAAACAGAAGATGTCACACCAAGTTTTGGTCATTCTTATCCGACTCAAACTGCTTCCATTTGCCAGAGTTTCTACAGATTGGAGAGACCCACTTCTAGTTCCCACCAGGCCCTGTTAGCAACTCCTGTTACCAATCACCACTTAATGAACCCCATTATTTGTTTTTCCCCCCAAAAGTGCCATTGAAAACTAATATTGATTTCAGTTGGTTTGGAGCGATGATGTAAATATGTACCTCTAGTGATTCAGACCAAAACCTCTGTCATAATTTCATCCTGAACCAAATTAATTTTTCATCACAGACTTCTTCTCGCAATGCAAATACCATATTGCAGTGAATTGTATTTGAATTGACCGGGCAGGCAGTTTTAGTCAAGGTTTAATAGCTGGAACCTTACAGCAGGTTAAAGATATCTGCATGACTAACTGTGTATCTCTACTTGTTTAGCAAACAGTGCCTGAGGCAGCTCAGTAGGATCTGAGGCACCAGTACGAAACAGTACATTTATTAATGTCACAGGCAATCATTAGATTTTTCAACAGCTTGTTATACATTTTTCTTAAATCTGGTCTCAGAGCAAAGGGTGAGATTAATGAAAATGTTATTTTAGGCTGCTGCCTCTGAATACCACTCGCACCAATTCACAAGCCAGCAGAGTCTAGAAATTTAACAGAATCCAATTTTTATAATGTTCTCCAAAAAAAATGTTCTTCAAGTATAACTGAATATCACCAATAGACAATTGGTAGTATAGCAGTAGTAAATGAGGACAGGCAGTTTGATTGAAAGGCTTAACCTGCATTGTGATCCTTCAGTCAGGCTGCCTGCCCTTCATTATAACACATTGCACTCCCACTTGTCCATTACTGTTCAATTTGGCAGCAGTAGGTGTCATCACTCAGTGGCTGAAAATTCAAATAATAATGACTGTTTTTCCCAAGATGTGACCAAGTGCCTTCACTTCATTCAGAACGACAAATATATTGTTTGTTTGGAGTAAAAAAATCTTCCCGCTGCGTGAATGAGACTCATTAAGAGCAGTCTTCAGTTCCTAATGGTGACAAACTGGCCTTTCAATGTGGCAGGTCCCAGCACTTTGGGACGTCCTCCCGACATGAAAGGCGCTCTATAAATGTAATTTTGTTGTTGTTGTTGCAGGTCATAAGATTTTATGTCGGTGTATCACTATTATGGTACAAACACGATTGTTTGTAGTCATTGGCATTCTTAATTAAATAGAGTAGCATTGTGGTGATCTGTCACTGGAATGCATTCAAACCAGGTGCTTCTTGTTTGTCAGGCTGACATGAAAGTGTTTGTTAAATATAATATGAATACAGAAAAGGTTTCTGTTCTCATTAAATTTTTGTATTTCTATCCCATATTCTATGGCCAGTCGACTGGAACTCCTGTCTGAGTCACTATCAAAGAACACCAAAATCAAAGATAATCATTGAGAAATCATTCTTGCAACTTTGACAATACATACAATAGTATCTCATTACGGAGACGATTTTTCCATTGTTTGCTAAACTTACCAATGGTTTGAGCTTCTTGTGCACTGGCCAGTAGAAAATACTCAAGTCGAAGGCCTGCGTTTTTCAATTAAAACTACCCCCAAAATCAGGATGCACCATTGGGATGGGGTCTTATATTTCTAGTAAAATTCCTTACTTACTTCTCTCCAAACTCTCTAAAATTTCCCTATACGTTAGAATCAGGGGTGCCTTAGATTTGAATAAATACGGTAAGATGCGCTCAACTACGAAAACATCACATATATTCTGTTATATTCACCAGTGTTGTCTATCAGCACACTGTGTACACTACAGTAAAGCATAATGCAAGCTGTCTTCCTGGCATAGGCAGTGGGTGCCTGGAGCTACAGGAGGCTCAGCCCCCCCCCCCCCCCCCTCTCCCCACACCCCTCAAATCTATCTATAACTCACCTCTTTAAGGGGAGCACCCAGAGTTCCATCTTGCCCTCTCCCAAAGTCAACAGTGCTCGCCTGTTTTAAATACTCCCAACAAGTTTTATTCAGGCCCCCCACCACAGAATATTTTAATCCACTGCCTATACTTGCCAGGTGAATGAGTCAAGGTTACAGCAGTCATGGATTTAGGAGTGACTGTAAATGCCCCTAAGGGTACCATACAGCAGGATACCTGTCCAACTCACACAGTCCCAAGTGATAGGGCTTTGGCTTGAAAGGTTGAGGAGCTGTTAATAATTCCAAGTGTCTTGGACCACAGTGGACAGGCATATCTCTATGAAGCTATTTCAACCCAGTGGAGACTTCTCCAAAACTCTCTTTAGACAGAGAACTCCAAATATCAACCTCAAATGGGTGAAGGGGTGAGTGTATCTATATTTTGATCCAACAAACCCTGTTATGTTAATCAAAATGCATGTTTTTTAGGCAACTCAACAACCAAAAGTGAATAGAGTCTCCACAATATAAAAACTTTAGAAGTATCCACGTAGAAATGCTTGGAATTATTGGAGGTAATCCTCCGGTCCAATCACTTAATCCAGTGATTGTCTAAAGTGATTTTCCCTTCTAGGAGATTGTCATGGGTTTTCTGACAAAATGTTGCTGAGTAATTTGTTCCTTCTGCTGTTCCACATCTTTGCTTTGTTTTGAAAATGACCTTACAATCTTCTGTTTTCTTTTTGCAGATAGCTGATTTAGCAGTTGCTCCTCTTACTATTACCTATGTGAGAGAGAAGGTTATTGACTTTTCCAAACCCTTCTTGACTCTGGGGATTAGTATCCTCTACCGCAAACCAAACGGGACAAACCCAGGTGTTTTCTCCTTTCTGAATCCATTGTCCCCAGATATTTGGATGTATGTGCTACTGGCCTGCCTCGGAGTCAGCTGTGTGCTTTTTGTTATCGCCAGGTAAGATAGAGTGAGAGTAACACTTGGCTGGTGGGAGAGAAAAAGGGAGGGGTAAATACACTTTTTTTCATGCATTCTGATACAATAATGACAATCTTTTGATCACTGCACACTCCATCCCTATAGAATATTTGGTGCCCCACTACTTTTGCAATGTTTATATCCCAGTTAAACAAGGTGGATTCCAGGATAAAATGGCTATGCAAAGACAGACACAGTGTGTATCTGGTAAGAACTGAGAAGCTTTCAGTCATTTTTGTATTTTGCGAATTTGTTGAATTATGTGATTCAAAATGGGAATGGTAAGGACCACATTCTAGTTAGCACCAGCCCATGTTTTGATCTGGACCGTTAAAGTCCGCTGGAAAAGTGTATAAGAAGTAGTTCCTCTGGAACAGGGCTGTGGTGCTCTCTCTATATTTCCTCTCTCTATACATCCTTGTCCAGTTCAGATTGTGTCTTGGAACCTTTCTGTGGCTCCTAATAAAAAAAAGTTGAATCAAATGTCAGTATTTCACAATGCAATTTAAGCAAATCCTTAAGATCATCGGTGCACTGAGCTGAGAGACACAGCACTTGTAAGAACCATGTGGTGAAACTGATGGCGCTAGTTAATGATGATCTGTCCTGTAAGAGAGTTGAAATCCTCCCCAGGACTCTTTCATTGTTTGAGCCCAGAAGTGGACCACCTAGTTCACTGGCCTTCTGCATAACTGACTGAACTGCTGGTTAGTGGGATATCAATTAAATCAGACCTGTTTTGTTAGTTAAGTCAGTATCCCATTTATTGCCAGCCCAAAGATGTGGACATAGTTACAAAGCTTGATGCAATTCTTTTTAAAATAATAATTTGGTTTCTCAATCCACGACTGTTTGTGGGACATTGCTGTTCACAATTGGCTGCTGCGTTTTGCCCACAAAATGTACAGTCAATTCACTTTATAGTATATTCTGTGAAGCACTTTGAGACGTCTTGAAGACATGATAAGGCGCTATACCAAATGAAATGATTATTATTATTATTGCTGAAAAGGGTATTGAGAGACGAGAGTAATTTGCCACCAGCACACACACACACACACACACAGGACCTGTTGATGCGTTAATTATCATGATGTTACTTTTTTTCAACTCGTGTGTTATTGAACACATCACACATTGCAATTTTCACCCCAACTTGGGTGAGGTTTGTTTACTGGTATTCTCTTCACCTGCCTACATGCTCATTGAAATGGAAGATGTAAATTTTAAGCATTCTTTAGTTATGCAGTTTTCAAATGAATCAAATGGTTTCTGCTTTGAAGGTGGTCTCAATGCTACTTTGCACTTGAGGAAAGGTGGCACTTCTGGCTTGTAGTGTGGCAGGTGTTTTTTTTAATATAATCTGTTTCATTTTTTTTTCCTTCTCCAAATTTTCACCACGCACCAGTATTCTCTCTCCACTTTCCGTGAAGGTGTTTAACTCCCTTTTCCATCCATCAGGGTACAATTCTACAATTCTATGATGGATGCCCTGTACCCTACACTATGACTCATGTGTGAGCCTTGACAATGGGCAATGGCAGACTTTTCAACCATGAGGGAAATGCCACACCTGAGTCAGAAACAGTCTTTAACCCAACACATGTAAAATAGGAGCCAAAAGTTTACTATTCCTGAACATCCACTAGTAATCTGAGGAACAAGCTTAAAAGTTATTTTGAATCATTTGACATCTGAATAAAGGTCATGTCCAAACTTATGAGAAAAGTGCTGGGAGCTGCCATCATAGGTTGCCATTTTTGAACATGGCATTTCAAATGCAATAAGGAAACATTGGACTAACCCAATCTGAATTAGAAAAGTATCCAGTGAATATGCCCAAAGAGACTCTTTTCTATTCTCAAAAATTGCAAAGAAGGCTTTGCTGAGTGGGAACCCAATATAGCTCTGCTCAAGGATTTACACCCAACTTTGGGTGTTACCATTATTCAGAAGTTAGGAGATATTTCAAATCACATTTTAATGATGTTACTTAAGTAAGGAATAGAATTTATTTAGGAACAACACAAATTCTGACTTCAAGAAGAAGAACTTATTTCATTTAAAAGAGCAACAAGGCCATCAAATCTCAAATGTTAGATCATCTACTCCTCAAGTATCATAGGTTCAAGTCTAATTTAATTATATGTGTAACTAAGAACTAACTATTTTGATGATGGGAGCATAGGGGCATCAGTTGATGAGACAAGACATGGAATCTGTCCAACTGCATGATATTACATTGACTTATAGAGGTGGTAACCATATGATACCCCATAAATCTTTAGGGTACAATGTAAAGTCCTTGCTTTTTGTACAAATTACACAAATGGGTAACCAGACACTTTAAGGAATCCCATTTGAATTTCCATCAAGCTGAAGGAACTCCACTTCAAATATAGATTGTGACAGAATGGTGATCCTATCATTTGACGAGATGCACTTCTGGTTAGCAGAAGGAATCCCTTTTACACAACTCAGATTCCTTATTATGGGAATCGTTATTAAGAAATACCGCAAGTTAATCACCAATATTTTTATGAATAAGAAAAGTAATACCTGTAAATGTTCAGGTTATCAAATTCTCTTGTAAACAGGATCCACTTGGCCTATTTTCTGCTAGTACAATTGTAACTCAAAACTTACATTGGCTCACTTCAAGTGATTAACTTCAAGTGAGGAGTCCTGTAGCTCAGTGGCTAGAGCACTCGCCTTGCAAGCGAGACACCTGGGTTCAATTCCAGGTAGGGCGAAACCTTGGGCAAGTTTCCTTACTCCACACACCTAATAATAATCCCTCCAAAACAAAACAATAATAAATTGGTCATTTTCAGTCCATGACTGTTTGTGGGACATTGCTGTGCACAATTGGCTGCCGCGTTCGCCCACAAATATACAGTCAATTCACTTTACAGTATATTCTGTGAAGCACTTTGGGACGTCTAGAAGCCGTGAAATGTGCTATATCAAATATCAAATTATTATTATTATTTATTATAAGGATTATTATTATATTATTAACAACTGGGGACAAAGTCATCATACATACAAAAAAATTAGAGAACTGAATAGAGCTCAAATAATGATTTATGTAGTAATTTGAGCAGCCATCTTGAATGATGCAGATACTAGTGTGCCTTTCATTAAGGTTTAATGGTGTAAGTGAGACTGAAAACTATTTTTAATGCAACTGTTATTTCAAACCTGGAAAGTGATAGATGACGAATGCATTGTGGAATGTATGACAAAGCAACAAAGACCAGGGAACACTGTGATAAAACCCCTGGACTGCACTTGTTCAGCTGAACTGGGCTGAGATAATTCAGTGTTCCCATGGAGAGAGGCCAATGTTCTTGCTATTAATTGTTACCCAGTAATCCTCTGCTGAGTATCTTGGCATTAAATGGAGGCCGGATTGTGTTTATCTATTCTGAGAGCAGACCCCTTCCCCCCACTCCCCCCATTCCCCTCCCCCCGAGCCCCCTTTACTACATACCAAACGGTCTGTCAAAACTCCCTGTTTGGACTCAAACATGAAGAATAGTTGCTTGGGTGAGTTATCATTGCAGAATCTGTTCACCAAAACAAGACCACTACCTCCAGAGCAGGAAGATTGAGGAACAAAACAGCAAATTGCAATTGGGCAAATAAATTACATGCTAATTCCAAATTTCTTTGCTTCTGTGCGTTTTAATATCTGGCATTAGTCAGATCCTGTGAAAATCACTCAGTAAACAGGTTTTGAAAGAGCTGCAGGAAACTGCAGCATTGCTCTTCTAATTCTTCCTAAAATGGTCTTTTGACCAAGTTCAGCATCATCCCGACAATGATGTGTTCTCTTTATAATACAAATGCACTTTCAAACATGCTTTGCAACACATGTTATTTAGTCCAAATTAATCTTAATTATTGCATATGGGGTGGGGGGGGGCTTTAAAAAAAAACTTGCTGTTGATAGCTCTGAAAATCTCAGGAACACCCACATAATAAATTACATAATTTTGCTGTTGAGCTGTCTTTCAGATAAATCGAATCAAGAATGCTCCGTTCTCTGCACTGAAGGAAAAATATAAACTAAACCACTCTTACAGAAATGCAGTACCTATCACTGATGATAGTTGATTAAGTATTTGCTGGTTATTTACAACATTCATGTGTCAGGTATACAACTAGATTAATAGTGTACAATAAAAACATTGATTGAGTAAAAAACATTTAAATAGACCCCTTTCCAAACACTCCCTCTTTCCATGAATTTGTCGCTAAATTTGAATGCTTTCTTCCTATCATGTGACATGCTGCATTTCTGTAGGGCCAGGTCTAAGAGAATGTGTTTGCATGATAATATGGATCTAGTTTTTTTTTAAGAGGACCCCCCACCCCCCTCCGATTAAATGAGTTACCAGTGTTGTGTCCATATTACATCTGGAGCAGAAAACAATGTTGCAGTTTATTCTCCTGCTGTGGATTCTATTGGAGTCCTGTAGTTCAGTGGTTAGAGCACTCGCCTCACAAGCTAGAGGACCTGGGTTCAATTCCCGGGCAGGGAGAAACATTGGGCAAGCTTCCTTACTCCACACTCCTCTATTTGCCTAGATAGGAACACAGTTGTTAGTCAATTGGCAGATGGCTTTTCCAAGGGTAATAATCCCTTCAAAAAAAAATTAATAATTTGGTCACTCAATCCATGACTGTTCGTGGGACACTGCTGTGCACAATTGGCTACTGTGTTTCGTCCACAAACTATACAGGCAATTCACTTTACAGTATATTCTGTGAAGTGCATTGAGATGTCTCAAAGACATGATAAATCGCTGTATCAAATGCAAGAATTATTATTATTAAAAACTAGTGCAGTAGTCAGTTTCCAAAAGATGCTTTTTAATTAAAGGAGTTTGATTGCCCAAGGGTAAGGGGCATAATGTAAATTAGCATAATTTAGTTTACATGAACAGCTTTTACATACATTGCAAAGGTAGACACTAAACTCTAAACTTGGCAGAAGTCAAAGGACTCCCTTAGCCAGCACCAGCGCTTATTTGAAGAAATGGAGCCTGTCCTACACCCGTGCTTATTATCTATTTTACAGAATGCTTCCAAATGTGTTTATGTGTGTGTATAAGTCACTGCATAGTATTTGCTGAAACAGAGATATTTTACTTAAACAACTTGTCGGCCACTATTCTGTACACAGATACGTACAGGTCTGCCTGGCTCCAGTGGTTCTGAGTGGATTTAGGATCATTTTTTCAAACTAATTCAGGAAATTCTACATCTCAGGCTAAGGTACTTATCCCATTGTATATTTTACTCCAGACAAGCCAACTCCTTCAATATAATACACAAATCAAATTAGTGGATTATAGAATTCCTGGGGTACACTAATCTCCTGTTGAGTCCTGCATTATTTGAATGTCAATCTTATAAAAGGACATTGAATTTGAAATTAGTGTAACATGTGGAATGACCTGATGGCTAATGGCTCCAGTGCAGCTTCATGCAGTCCCACTCATCAATATTTTTGTCATGTGCGAGGATCTCAAGGTAATTGCTTGCTTGAGGGTTGATTTGCTATGCCATGGAATGATACGATGCAAGTCTACGCCTTTATCGTGAGGTTCTGATAACAATCTTACTGCTGTAGGGAGTCCCCACGTGATCCTGTCAACTTATTCAGTGGGCACTGAGAGGGCCTCCAAACCTGATAGCATCCCATAGTTTTCCAAACAGCAAGAGAAGAAGAAGAAACAGCACTAAATCCCACATCCGACATCCTACAGCCAAGTAAGTAGTGAACCAAATGGAGCAACAAGATTTAATAGGGTTAGAGGCAAAAGCAGGTGAAAAGGAAGCAGCTCCTGGATCACAATATAAATACTTCTATAGGATAGAAACACAGAGAATCTCATACTGTCTAACCTATTACTATTATTATTATTACAACACAAAACCAGCAAAGACCGCAGCAAGTTCATTATAATGATGAGAGTTGTAAACCTGCTCCAGATGTACCGTGAACCAACATGCCACACTAGTGGTAATTTTTTTTTTGGTGAATAACCCACTTCTTAATCTTTATTTCCGCATTATTGAATGGTTGGCAGATTTGCTGGAGCACTGTGTATTCATCCGATGTTTTACAGACTGTTTCTGTTAATTACCACAGGTTTACACCCTATGAATGGTATAACCCCCACCCTTGCAATCCTGACTCCGATGTGGTGGAAAACAATTTTACTTTACTAAATAGTTTCTGGTTTGGAGTTGGAGCTCTCATGCAGCAAGGTACATAGGTCACACGTCATTCCTACACACATCCCACAGTCTGCTGGGGTCCCTCGTGCTTGGTAAACTCCATCCTCAGCAACTATGCTCCAATACTGTAAAACCTGGTTGACATTCAAAAAGACTAATCATTAGTAATCCTCTCTGAGGCTTGTTTGATGGTACAAAAAATATCAAACTTAAAAATAAAACAATGAAATTCTGATTTTATTATGAAATGAAATGAAAATGCATGGTGCAGAAGGCAGTTATTATTATAATGAAAAAAATGAAGCTTATTCTAAGTAAAGCCTTGTATGAAACTAACTCCAACCGGTACAGAGATTTGTTTAAGCACTATTAACGTCTGATGTATAAGTTGTGTATTCATGCAATTAAATTCTGCTGTGAATGAGGTGAGGTGTGTGCTGTGCCTAACCTGCATATTTAGGCTAACTTGACAGGCCTGAAATGGGAGCAAAAATCATACACGAGAAAAACTTCCATTTTCGCTTAAATGGAAGAAAGAACACCATATTAGGAATACAATTGAGTAAATGTTGGGTTCATTGTGTGAAATAGGAAAGAATGTAGCAAGTAACAACTTTTGTAATTTTGTACACTTACATGAGCTGCAGGAAAATAACTGGAGTTTCATCTTAGTTTCACTTGCATTTCATGTATCATTCGGCTGAAAAATGCCAATTAAAATGTTACAATTAATGCATGCGCTAAGTAATTTCTCTTAATCTGAAAGAAGGTGTGCAAACTGCTTATATGAAGTTAAATGACAATGGATAGAAAGTGCATGTATTTTCTCTCTCTCTCCCTATGGTTATTTATTTCAAGTGTAACAATATGAATAAATTTAGAAAACTCCTGATAGGCAAGATTATTCAATGAGAGATCTGAGAGACACACACCGAGAAGGTCTGAGGTTTGATCCCTGATCTGTGATGTGTTAGCTGAGCCAACACTAGTGATACTACCATGAGGGTCCTATATTAAAGAAAAGGGAAAATCAATGAGGGTTTTCCACTCCTTTTGGCTATTGAGGTACACAATGAACAATGAACAATAAGACAAGGAGTGCTGCAGCACTGCATCTGAGTAAATGCAAGCAGGAGGCTACCAGAAAGGACAGGGGGAAGGAAAATTTGATGGAAATATTGGTAAGAGAGTAAACGTAAATTAAAAACCGAACTCCAAATCAATCACAGAGCATGACCAACCAGAAATAAACAACCAGTCCTTCAATAACATACAGATGCACTTTGCAGCACAACCAAAAAATGCAAATTAATTTATCAATCAACACAGATGCACAAATCTTCAAAGAAGTAAAAGCGTTGTTCTTTATATCAGTGGGATATTTGTAGTGTTGCAGCAAAAATATACATACATAAGTAGTAAGCCCAACACTATTCTGTGTATTTTAGTGGAATCTCAATCGTTTCTGAAAATTGACAGCAACATGATAACAGGTTAATCCTGATTCTAATACTGCTACATTGCTTTCTTGGTATTAGAATGAATTTGCAGTGGATGATTAAACTAAGTATACCCTGCACCCCATTGAACAGTGAACAAGCTACAAGCTGGCTAAATCTCACTGGGTTAAAGAGTGGGTCATAGTTTTAGGCACTTTTTGATCTGTTCAAATTGAATTGATCAGGTGCATGATCAGGTTTTACAGTACAGCATTTGTATGTTTGTGGTGGATGCATGTGTATGAATGCTGATGAAAGCTACTTTTACTTTTTAATGATAGTGGCTAGCAAACTGTTTGTATATCTGCCACGCATGTCATACGTGTTGGAGTTTACCATCATCCACAGCAAATTGTGGGACGTCGTGTCTGATAGTTGCCACTACCTTGAGTACATGACAGTCAGCCCCAACCAGACTCTGCTTGTCTTTTAACAGCTTCATAAACATTTGTGAGCCAGCAAATGTTTGCCCATACAAACTTGTGGTAATTGTGGACGTAAGTGCACCATGATAGCTTCTACTAATAGCTGCAAAAGGACTAGCCAAATGCTAACCTCTTCTGTTTTCATTGATCTCTTCCATGTGGAAAGTCTGTGTTGTTTGCATGAAAGTGCGAGCCGACTGTTTAATTTTACTATGATGATCAGACTTTCTCTTTCCTACAGACCGTGAGCAAAGTCTGGATCAGGATTGGCTGTCATGTCTGCCATAAGGCACTAAAGAGACTTCAGCAAGTATTGTCTCTGAGCAGATTTTATCCTAATTAAAATAATGATTTGTTGTCCCTGCTACAACTTGGGCTTACCAACAAATTGTCACTGGACGAATTTCTGCATTAATCATCCTTTGAACAATTTGTTTGGTCTAAATAAAAGTATTATAAAAAAAGCCACCTCACGCAAGTTTTCTTTAAAACATAATTACATGGGATAGAAAGAGAAAACTATATGAAAATTTAGGTTACGATAAAAGTCATATCTTCACATCTAGTTTTATGTTCTTCAAATCCAGAGGAGTTACTTTCACACAGTGCAATGTTTACTTTTCTAACAAAATCACAGCCATAACATAAGAGTGCCACTTATGCACCAGGTTTTATGGTTATTTCACCTTCTCCTTTCATTTGCTGTGAATTAACAAATATTGTTGATATAGAATTCTGTAATACTACATCAAGATTCAAGAGATCACATAAATATTCCTGGCTATGAATCTGATTGCCTTACAAGCCTCATGTCTCTAATCAAACCTAGATTTGATTATAAATAAGTGACACCTCTAAGTTACACTTCTATAGTTTTCCATCAGAATTGAGCTATCTGTACCATTAGGATTTCAAGGGGTGTACAAGGAAACCTTCCTGGCAATTCTTACTGCAGCTGTTGAACTTGAGCTGTCATTTCTTAGTACAGCTCAAGTTCCCTTTGTCTAGTTATATTCCAGCTGGGTTTGACTTGCTCCAGTTCATCAAGTGGAATGTAATAGGCAGCAGCCTCTGTCTGGGATCATAATTCCCTCCCCAATCATTAAGACTTGTCTTAAAGAGTTTAATCAAAAACAGCCAAGGTATTTGGGCTTGCTATACCAGTGCTGACCCAGCAAGCTAAAGTCTACTTTTGTATAGGAATGTAATGTTTGATTTTCCAGTTGAGAGTAAAGCCCTGGTGTAGTTAGTGAGTGTTAAGCTATGAAAAGTCAAGCCTAGTTACCAATAACTAGAAACCTTAGATTCATAGGGTAAAGAAGTCAAACTTCCTGGGTATAGTCAGTGGCCATTTGTCTTTTGATCAGTCACATATTTGACACATTCAAAAAAACTATTTTATCCAAACCAAACTACTGAGAATTCCTTTTATGATTTGGATTTGTCTGGTGCAGAGTATCCATTCTCTCCTGGAGGGACGCAACCAATTCCCAAAGAATTTAGTTTGGCAAGAGCCAAGGCCAAGGGTACTGTTGGAGTTTAATCAGCTAAAGCCATGCAGCTCATCATGTTAGAACCACTCTACTTGTTGGGCTTTGACTTGCAGGGTTAATAGACACAAACAGGACACATCCCATATTGCCCTTGTCGGCACTAAAAAAGACCTTTGGGGTTATTTAGTTGGTACACCTCTATACATTTTTGACTTTAGTTATCCCTTACTGTCATGGATGATAGTGCTTAAGTAGTTAATTGTTCTGCAGCAGAGGTTAAACCCAGTCCATCAAACTGAAAATCAAGACACATCAGATCAGTGACTGCCAGGATTATTTGATTCTGTGAGACCACCAGACCATCATTTTCCACTCTCAACTTCTCATAGTGTCCTCTTGAATGTTTGAGTATATGTAAATCCTACAGATGTATTTTTTAGACAATTAACTAATGTTTTGACTTTTTCAGTTTCCATCATACTTTTGAAATTCAGTTTGCTTCTATGTTATAGGGTAATGAAACTGAAAATGCAATACCACCCAAAAAAGATTTAGTTTATTCTGTTTGTTGTTCTATTAAAATATATATAATTTTAAGAGTGCGCCAAAGTAGCTAACCTCTCTTTGTGTATCATTTTGCATATCCTATCCCTTGTGCTGTTCAATACCATCCTCAATGCCAGTGCCGCCAATACCGGTGATCAATGCCAAACTCTCCTCTGTAGGATAACATTATCTTGCGTATTTTCATTCTTGGGCTGCACTGTTTTATTGCACTGTATTATTTCGAATGAACTGCAAATGAAAGATGAATGCAAACTATTTGCTGGGGAAGATGGGGCTTATCCAGTGGATCTTAGAATGTGAACTTAACATGTTTTATTGTTGCTGCTGTTATAACAGGATCAGAGTTGATGCCCAAAGCTCTCTCCACTAGAATAGTGGGTGGAATCTGGTGGTTTTTTACTTTAATTATAATATCATCGTACACTGCCAACTTGGCTGCATTTCTGACTGTGGAAAGAATGGAATCGCCCATCGACTCAGCTGATGACTTGGCAAAACAAACCAAGATAGAATACGGGGCAGTCGGGGATGGATCAACAATGACTTTTTTTAAGGTACGACATATGCTGGTTTTGAAGAAAAGTATTATCGAACCTCATTCTTTCTCCATCCATGTTCACACTCTCATGTGGAACCAAAAATGACATGGATTAAGTTATATGCTATAATTTACACACAGGGCTACTGTCTGCCACTGTGATTCTAGCTGGATGTTCTGAGGAATTGGTCCTGTTCTGAGTGTGGTCTCCAAACAATTATGTGCTTCAGTGAAGTATACCAAAACCAGGCAGGAACTTAGTTATTTCCGCCATTAGATTTGATTTATATTTTGTTTTGTTTGCCAATGAAAATGTTGGATAATTTTGCGAAGGCTACAATGTATTAGTCATGAGAGGTGATTTTAAAATCATATGTGGGCTGTGAGAGACCACATTTGGAGTTGCGAGTACATTGTGATTTCCCTAATTTGATAAGGTTAGGCAGTTGGCTACACTGGGACTTTTCTCTTCTGAAAAAAGGAAACTGAGGAGAGGTTTGACGGACGTGTTCATGGTTGTGAATGGTTCTGAACATTTGGGTGAAGGTAAGTTTTTCTGTCTTGCATAAAAATAAAAATCAACAGGTTAATATTTGAGGTCGTTTCTTTACCCAATCCTTATTAGTGCAAATTATTTAACCCATTCTATGTGATTCAATTTAATTCTATTTAAGAGAGTAGGAAATGCTTAGCAATTACAAACTTAGCCCTGCAAACATTTATAATTATTATATTATTATATTATTATAAATATGCCATTATAATTATGTGGATACAAACTGACTATTTCAAATTATTTAGAGTTGTTGAGCTCGTAGTCCAGAATGACATTGCTATTTCAGTACTGGGGAAGCACTGCATTGTTGGCATTGAATGAGATGTTAAATCAAAGTTCCATCTGCTTGTTGAAAAGGACATTAAAGATCACACAACACCATTTGAAAAGAGAAGGGAGCTTCTCCCTGTGTCCAGGCCAACAATAAATTGGTAAATCACTTCATGATTCGCTATGGAATCTGCTGTGCACAAAATGACTGCTGTGTTTGTCGACAAATATTCAGGGCCCTTGAAAACAATTCTTTGTGAGTTATTTTAATGTTATAGATTCTAAATTAAGTGCAAGGATTATGATAGGATTACTCTAATCTATGTTTATGCTTTTTTCACTGATTTAGATTGTTGACAAATGTGTGAAGTTCTTTAATGTAAAGGCTTCTACTGTATCTACTTACTCAATTATTAGGAAATTGGAAGCAAAGTAAACCTCTTGGGTTTTTTCAGTGCTCTGGGGCAGTACAAATTGTGGAACATTGTTACACAAAGAATACAATAACAAGATGAAAAATGGATCCCAAACTGTCATACCTAAGGAGTTGTATCAATTTTGTCTGAGTCCAATTAGTAATATTTTCTATATTTCTAATTTGCCAGACTATCACATGGATATTACCGCCATTCTAATTGACTTTAGTTTTTTTAAAAAAAACTCCTTATATCTAAAATTCAAAGTTTACACTTGTTTCACTGCTGCCTTTGCAAATATTGTCTTAAATTTAGCTCTTGTTTCAATTGTAAACATTTTCTGTATGTAAAAGTTATAACTTATGTCACTTATTGTCAGTTTTGTCAATATTTTCACAACATTATACTTCTACCCAACATGAGAAGGTGGAGTTTGTAACATAGGCTAAGTTGTCTTAAAGAATGATGCTTTAATAATTTTGTCTTGAATGCTCAGATAGTTCAAGTAAAGATAAATTGATGTCAATTTTACAGAAATCCAAAATTTCGACTTACGAAAAGATGTGGGCATTCATGAGCAGTCGACAGCAGACAGCCTTGGTGAAAAATAATGATGTGGGGATCCAGCGGGTGCTCACTACGGACTATGCTCTTCTGATGGAGTCAACTAACATTGAGTTCGTTACCCAGCGAAACTGTAACCTGACCCAGATCGGTGGGCTCATTGACTCGAAAGGATATGGTGTAGGAACACCTTTAGGTAAGACAGTGATATTAGTATGTTTTAGTTACCAGCTGGTTAAATACTTGAGTCAGTAGTAACTTTATTTGAAACCAGTTTTGTGGAGAAATGCCTTTTTGATTGATTGTGGAGCAAATTTGGCAGAGGCAATTTTGAAAAGGGCATGGAGATAGGGTGGGGCAGTGGGATTGCAGCTTGCTCTGAGAGACCAGTCAGACTCAATGAACTGAATGGCCTTTATCTGCAGTGTAATTCTCCATGATTCTAGGATTAGGATTGTCTTATTTACAGTTGGAAATGTCACATCTCACTTGGGCAGGTGTGACAGATATTGGTATCAGTAGCGCACTGCATATTTTGGTCGGGGGAAATAAATAAAATAGTTATATTTTAATGATATGGTAACAACTTTAAGATAATCACAAAAAGAATTAAAGGGGAAGATAGAAAAATATTCCCAGGGTGTCTGCAATGTGGAATTCTCTGGGACAAACCGTTGTATCCACGGATGCACACTCCACCTCACCAAGCCAGTCAGGAACCTGGACATCTTGCTCGACCCTCAACTGTCCTTTCTCCCCCATATCCGTGCTATGACCTGCCACTCTCTGTCTTCTCCCACCTCCGCAACATTGCCCGACTCCGCAACTGTCTCACCTCTCAGGCTGCCGAAATCCTCATACGTGCCCTCGTCACCTCAAGGCTCGACTACGGAAACTTCCTCCTTGTCGGCCTCCCCAACTCTTCCCTCCACAAGCTGCAGATCATCCAGAACTCTGCAGCTTATGTCCTCTCCTGCACCAGGCTCCGTGACCCTATCACTCCCACCCTCACCCAGCTCCACTGGCTCCCCATTCCTCAGAGGATAGAATTCAAAATCCTCATCCTCACTTTCAAGGCCATCCATGGCCTTGTCCCCTCCTACATCTCTGACCTGCTGACTCCCTACCAACCTGCCCGCTCCCTCCACTCAGCAGGCTCTGGCCTGCTCCATGTCTCCTGCCCCACCCGCCCCACCATCGGCGGTCGGGCTTTTAGCCTCTCTACCCCCACCCTCTGGAACTCCATCCCACAATCCCTTCACCTTGCTCCCTTCCATACTTCCTTCAAGGCATGACTGAAGACCCTCCTTTTTGACCGTGCCTTCATCCGCCCTCCTACCTCTCTGCCCTCCTTCAACCCAACCCTGCCCCCCATGCTCGGGTCCTGATCCCCGACTGTTCAGCTCCTTGGGACGTTCTCTCGACGTGAAAGGCGCTTTACAAATGTAATTTTGTTGTTGTTGTTGTTGTTGTTGTTGAGAGTCCATAAATTATTTCAGAGAGGAAATTACAATAGATACTTCAAAAAGAGAAGCATTAAAGGGTAAGAATTTTGCATATGTGAGTGGGATAAGATTATGTTGTTCATGTGGAGAAAAGCACCACAGCACACCTGGTGGGCCAAATGATGCCCATTTCTGAGCCGTTACACTCCATCTGCCCAGGAGGAATTAAGATCGTTACAAAATCCACTTGTATGAAATCTGTCCGCATTTGAGATGCAACCTTACCAGTAGCTTGTCAGGCTATTGAACACAAAATCTTAGGGTCTGGAGAGCCCAGAATTCTGAAGGTATGTTCTTAACCATTGCCTTTGCCTTATATTTGAAATGCTTCACAATATCTTTTATCAGTTCAGCTCAGCGTTCATTAGTTTGTTACTGACCTTGACTTGACAGAGAATATTAAACACAGCTCAACAGTACAGACTTTTGCATCACCTTTCTTCAATGTCCTTGCCTTCTGGTTCACTTTTATATGTATGATCAGATCTCTCATCAAACAACCTCAGCATTCAGAGCATGCCATCTTTCCTCATTTCCGTACCTGACCTAAGGCCGAGACTGCCATCAATAGTCTGATCCCAATATTCTTAGGAACATTGTTATCATTTGTCAGTATCATTGACAAATACCATTGCCAGTGTAAAAATGTGTTTCCCACACCAAATGTTGTCCCTCCTTCACTGTAATGGAGTTGTTTCTTTCCGTGAGTGCCTGCAATCCTTCAGTAACTCACTCGAGATGCCATTATTTACGTGTGAGTCTTGATAGTACAGTAGAACCCCATTATTACACACTTCATTGTAACGGGTTCATTTATAGTACAATTGGAGTGTGGACCCCAACATTTACAAAAAAAAATCTAAACCTGGTCTACTGGTGCTTCAAAATGCTGACTGGCTCAGAGGAAGTAAAAATGGGGAGGTTCTGGAAGGGGATATGTCAACCTGAGGACCCAGAGGGCAGCCATTTTGTCCGGCCAGTGTTTTGAAGCACCAATGGAGCCATCTGTCTTTCTGCACATGCATGTACAAGGAATGTATAGCTCTGGTTGGGATTTTATGGGCACCACACCAATCCCCAACTACCATGTAATAATGGTTACTCTGTTGTAAATGCTTGCAAGCTTTCGACTGCAAAGGCTATCAGAGCAAAGCCTAATGTTTCAATTCTCTCTCCTCAAATGACAACCACAAATGTACATCTCTAGATTGATTTCAGTCAGTGATCAGGCTGATCTTACGTAACGTGCCCCTTTGTAGCACCTCTAGTACTATTATGTGTTTTAAAAAATAGTTCATGTTACTTTTATTTGAAAATAAAATATGTAGCAAATTGTAATGTACTCCCAAATGAGCAGCAGGATATTGACTTGACCATTTCCAATTAAGTATTAACGCATTTAACACGATCTATACACTTAATTGCCAAGAATATGCATCATTTCCGGTGAACAATTTCTCTCAATGTATTGTAATGAGTGGGGGCAGGGTAAAATCAACATTATTACAAATTTAGAGGTCATTAAGTACTCTAATTTGTATATACTGTAGCTCATAATTATATTTTATTGGTGAAAGTCATTTTAAAATGCAGTCTTTAATTTAGTATCTATTACCAAATAAAGTATTGAACGCATTATATGTTTTTGGACTGTTAAATATGATGTACATCCAGATGGAATTCTATTTAAATTTCATTTATAATTACCAATGATTATATTTTTTTATTGCGTAATTATAGTTTTTAAAATTATTACCATTTACAATGTTCCTAAGAAAATAATAAACATTCTCTAGGGAATTCACATTCTTGATTTATGAAAGTGCTTATACAAGAGGAATCTATATTTCAAAGGATACAAAAAATCATTTAGCCTTCATTTAAATCGATGTTAGAGTACATTTTATAATAATAATAATCCTTCAATTTTATATCATGCCAATAACCTTGAAATATCTCAAAGCACTGTAGAGATAATTTCTGTAAATAGTGATTGTGTATTTGTAGTTGAATGCAGCAGTCAATTTGCACACAGCAATGACCTACAAACAACCATGAAATGAGTGACCAATTTTATCTGGAGGATTATTAGCCAGGACAAACTCTTTCCCCTTACAAAACTTGTGATGTGGTCAATATAACAATGCTATAATATTTAACACAGGGACTGGTCCCCAAGTGATTTGGACAATCCTCTCCCTCTCCCCTTTTCAGAGAAGCCAGCTGCGTAAAAACAGGAAATCAAGAAAAATCAGAGCAAAACAAGTATCCCATTAACCACAAACCCAAAGCCCACTGTGTGGTGAGCTATCAATGATTATAGAGCTTATCGATATCCGCTTCCGGGACACATGGGTCTGGTTGATGGGTTGAATACTTGTGTTCCTATCACCAAATGGGTGATAATGAACACAACAGAACGTCTTCCAAGCATTAAGATTAAATCCCTGACTTCTAATTGATAAATTTAGTGATCTTGGCAGTGAAAATTTAAAATGGGGAAAATTCTGTTGTGTGGTGATTTTCAGAGCATTTGCATTTTAACTAACTTTGCAAGTCAACAGAATCTTATTATACGGCAGATGGTAACATTAAACATCCTTAGTGCTATCCTGATGGTAGGTGAAACTGCATTCACATAATATGAAGGAAGTAAGCTGTTATTCAACAGCCTGGAACAAAATAAACGTTTCTTAAATATGCCACATTTATAGTGAGACAGATCACAGGGAGGAAAATGTCTGTTTTTCTGCTGGTCCAGATGGGTGAATTTAATCCTCTGTTAGTTTGGGAGTTGTTCATAATGAAAGCTTATAGGATTCATTATGATCTGGAGCAGTCTTCTATTCACATCTTCTGTTGATTTATATGAGTGGAGTCCTGTAGCTCAGTGGTTAGAGCACTCGCTTTGCAAGCGAGAGACCTGAGTTCAATTCCAGGCAGGGCGAAACCTTGGGCAAGTTTCCTTACTCCACACGCCTAATAATAATCCCTCCAAAACCAAAACAATAATAAATTGGTCATTTTCAATCTACGACTGTTTGTGGGACATTGCTGTGCGCAATTGGCTGCCGCGTTCGCCCACAAATATACAGTCAATTCACTTTACAGTGTGTTCTGTGAAGCGCTTTGGGACGTCCTCCTGACGTGAAAAGCGCTATATCAAATGCAAGGATTATTATTATTATTATTATTATTATGAGCGTTCGAAAATTGTTTTCCAGTTTTAATTGTTATTATTTAAATATTTGCTGAATTACTGCATAAGAGAGCATAGTACAAGCTATACCAAATGCCAACGAACAAGGTGCATGAGTCCCAAATATAATGAGCGCATAAGAACCGCAGTAGATGAACGCAAGCTGCAGGGCAATTCCCATTATAACATGGTCATGTGGGTCAAATATATTAGAGGCTGGGTTCGAAGTGAAGTGCAAAAAAATGTCTGGCTTTATCGCATTGCTGCTGACATGTGTGCTATATGCAAGAAGTGTCACTGATTTCACTTCCTTTGCAAATACTTCATTTCTTTTAAGAACTACACATAAACTGCCTTCAAAGCTTCAAAATTAACAATGAATTCAACAATTGTCCCATTCTGAACACTCTAAAATGCTACATAAACTGAATAAGTCTGCACCCAGATGAAGTTTACATTTAAGAACATAAGAAAGGATGGAATAAGTAGTGG